GATGAAACCATAGCAGATAGCCGGGAGGGTGAGAGCGAGCGTAGGTTATGTCGAAAAGTCACATGGGTATGTGTTGTGTCAGGATGTGTCATGTTGAGGTTAAGAGTGAGGAGGAAGTGATCCGAGGTGTGCAGTGGAGTAACCAGTACATGATCAGTGGAGCAGTCTCGTGTGTAAATAAGGTCCAGTTGGTTGCCTGATTTGTGCAGCCTGAGGTTTATCTAGGTGGATGTTGAAGTCTCCATACATAACTAGGGGAGTACCATCCTGAAAGTTTGAGAGCAGCACATCTAATTCTTCCACGAAGTTACCTAGTGGTCCTGGGGGTCGATAAACAACTATAAAATGGATTTTAAGAGGGTGGGTAAAAGATAAATGTTACATAAGATGAATGTTTGCTTTTGACCTGTCTTCTGTACTAAGATAGATATACATAAATAGTTTTAGTCCATTTATTTTTGCTTTCTCAGATGTGTTATATGAGACATCAGAGTGGTCTACGAGACATTACCATGAATACTGTGCTTCAATATGCCTCCAGATGTTTTGCTGTAACTCAGAAAGGGAAGCACTGCAACAATTCAAGCTAGTACACAATGCATTACCACTGACCCAACCAAAGTTAACAGTTATCAGATTCCATCAGGCATTATACAATCACTTTTGCATAAGGCAGAAGCTAAAGTGGTGGAGGCAAATGAGCAGCAATTCACTGGAAACGTTTCACTCACCACCATTGTTATATATATACACTGTATATATACTGTATACTGTATATAAGAGGAGGAGTTTTTATTTTGTGTACAACAGGGACATCTAGTGTTTATTATGGGAATAACCAAAAAATTCAAAATTCGAGTTTGTGTGTAACCATGTATAGACTAGAATAGCATCTTTTCCACATTTTATTTGTGATGTCACCACAGCATAGCGAGATCAACTGTTTTTAAGTCATTACATCAAAGTCACTGTGTAGAATTATTATTATTATTTATTATTATTATTATTAACAAAATACAAAATAGTAGCTTACATAATAGTGCTAGTACAAAATAATATCAATGAGATATAACTTTTGAAGAACATAACACTTTAATATGCTATGACTTTGGATTTTGTGAACTACTTTGTTTTACCATTCAGGTAAGAAAGAAACATCCCTTTTTCAGGATACTGTATTTTAAAGATAATTGTGTAATTGTGTAAAAATCCACATCTTTTTTGGAGAAGGTTTAAACAATATTTTTCATACTTATTCAATGAACCACAAGCTATATTGCACATGCACCTGTGGAACAGCCCTTTAAACACTCACAGTTTACAGGTGGCAGGCAATTAGGCCACAGTTACAGAAACTTATACGGTAGAAAAGACCCTTCTGAAAAACACCGGAAGAAAGATGCCTACACTCTTAGAAATCGCTGTAGATTTAGCAGCACACTACTGTAAAAACCTACAGTACAATACCACATTTATCCATTACAGTAAAATACTGTAATTTAATATTTTACAGTATTGCTGTAACCTTGCTGTAGCCTGACAAATACAAAGGGCAATAATACAGGATTACTGTAAATAGCGCGCGGCGCACCACCTGACGTCACATCAGAGAGAGAGA